TAACAAGTGCATCGCTTCTAGTAACAAGTGCCTTACTAGTAGTAACAAGAAGCTATTTGAAACAAGTGCCACGCTACTAGTAACAAAAAGCTACTAGTAACAGGTGCCACGCTATTAGAAACAAGTGCCTTACTAGTAGTAACAAGAAGCTAAAATAGAATTATTAGAAACAATACCTTCCTCGAAACTCGAACGTCCCAAATCCTTGCTGGCCAATCCCTATGTACCACCACCGGATTTGAGCCAGTCCTAACGATGTAAATCTTAAGCCTGCGACCACACCCTGGGCCAATCCAACCAGGGGAGCAAGACTGGACGAAACTAGGATCCTGTCCAGCCGCCAAAACCATGTATCAAACCAACAAAAGCCGGAAAAAAACCGGATCCTTGCAGCGTGGGTGGCCCTTCGTGACATAAAGCGTGGTCCTACGGCGCTATGGACAGCTCCCTCGGTGCTAAGTCTGCGTGTCATTTCACCACGCGACCAGCAAAGTCTCAACCATCTTGCTATGATGCATCCCTCCCAACCTGGAATTGTGCTGGATTGAAAAAAGACTGCTGGCTTCGAAGCGACACTTTTCTGGAAGTTTTGCACCAAATTGTTCGTTTCAGTGTGGGGAAGAGATGTCGAAACGGTCGCATTCAGAACAAATGCGCGTCCCTCTGGCAATGGCATTCCAGCGCTATAACCCCGATTTAGGGTTGAACCGGATTTTGAAGGCCCCTAAAAACATCCATTTCCAGCGATGCTGTTCCACAACTTATATAAACTGGAACATGTTCTGCTCTTATCAAAGGCTCTCAAAGGATCAGGTCGAGGTGTTCCACTCCCGGCCTTTGCCACAAACCGACCATCAATCCGAAGCAGGCGACCAGCTGTCCTACCACAGGTCCACTGCAACCACCAAAGTACCTTACAGTAAAAAAGTAATCTTTCAAACTACCATGTCAGGTCCTACGCTTGTGTGTCGACATCTACCATGGTTCACGACTCACAGCTCTTTCCTCCCAATCCCTCACTTTAATTGCTTGGAAAACCTCCCCAGAATACGGTTGTACCCCGAAACAAGACTAACAAGACCAAGTCTGTCTGAATCCACGGTCTTCAGGTCCACGGTCTTCAGGTCCACCGGTCCACCGAATGTCATCCAAGAGGCGGTCGCTGAGTTCAAACTCCACAGGTCGAAGAGTGCGGCTCTCCTCTCTGAACATGCTGCAGCCCTTCATCAACGTCCGCTGACCTCTGAAGAGCTCCGAACGAATGAGGGTCCGCGTGAAGAGGTCCGCGAACCGTGAGGAAGCGATGCCCTGACGTTACTGTAGCTACTTGTTACTAGATGTTACTAGTAGCTAGAAGGCCTCCAACCCAATAGCGATGCCTAGTAGCTTCTTCGTTACTAGTAGCTTCTTTCTTAGTGCATAGATGTGCATAGTGGTGTCTCTATCCATTGACCGAGCACCATGTGACTGAATTGTCTCTGACCGTTTGCTTGGCGAACCGAAGTTCGCGTTTCTCCACGGATGATTTCTCGAAAAAACGCTCCACATCCATCTGCCGTCCAACCAACGAAGCTTAGGCCGGACTTGAAACAAACCCGCCGGTGGACTTGGAGTGCAGGTTGAAATTCACTTGAAATTCACTTGAGGCCGTCTCTGGAACACGGAATTCACACTGGAATTTACGGATCGCAAGCAGGAAACCAAAGAATGTTAATTGTTCAGTGGAGCAAGCTGACGATGACCCACCCACATTGACGCCGTGTTCTCTAGAGGGATCTCGTGTATCAAGCCGTAGTGGTGCTTCTTCAGTTCTTCAATGAGAGAAGAAATAGCCAAGCCATATGTTCTTGCCTGGACCCCCAGTCAGGGTGGTTCATGGACACTCCAAAAGACCTCTTTTCGGGGCTGTTCATGGACAACCTTTCCGTGGTGTAAATGACGTCTGTATGCTTTTCCTGCTTCCCCGAAGTTCCATGAGCTCACAGGCCACACAGGCCCACCACCACTCCACCACCACTCCCAGCGCCCAGGGCTGAGGGCCCGCACCTATGAGGGACAAAATGATCACCAGGGCTGAGGTTAGCACAAAGTTGGGCAAAATCCTGCAGGATGCACTCAAAGAACCATAAAAGAAATTGGGCAGCAGGCTCTCGGCTCTCTTACCCTGTGTCCACCTGGTTCATCTGTTGTCATCTGGATAGATTTTTGATTTCATGTGTGTTCAAAAGATGGTTCTGTATCTTTGCGCAAACCCTGCTGGCCGGCAGACACGGAACCAGTCGTCTTTGCTGCCCCTGGGGAGTAGAATCGAAAGCCTTCTTCCAGTAGGACCTTCATCAATCGCTATCTGATCAATTGGAACCATCTGCAAAACCTATGCCCTGTTATGTTTCTCACTAGTAGGTTGGAGGCCATGGCTATTAGTAATTAGAAGCTACTAGGAACAAATGGGCATCGCTACTAGGAACAAGAAGCTACTAGTAGCTCCCGGCATCATACTAGTAACAAGAAGCTACTAGGTTGGAGGCCATCGCTATTAGTAAGAAGATTGTTTTCAAAGGGAACAAACCTTCAATGGTCCAAGGTCTTCCAAAACGGCCGGCGCGGCGGATTCACACTAGGTCGTTCGATTGAGGGCGCCCCAGAGAAAACGCGGTTTCTCGACGTGTCGATGTTGAATCCGAAAGCCTCAAATCCCAAAGAACCACAGGTCTTCTGGTCATACTTAGTTAGCAACGGAAGCCTACTAAGGCCTATTACTCAGCTCGAGTCAGCTAGTGTATAAACCTATCATGTATCCATTATAAACCATTTTAAACCCATGAAGACGCATCGGACCACGCGACGCACGTGAAGACGACGCACCGGTCTTGGAGAGCAGGGAGCCAAAGACTGCACCGAAGATCGTTAAGGGCTCCATGGCCTCGGAGGCTCACCGAGGCCACGTCACACGGCGACACCGCGCGGTCGGCGCGTGCGACGATGCGCAGTGGCGAGTGAGGGAGAGGAGCAGTTGGAATGTCTATTGAAAAAAAGGCGTTCACCGTGATATATGATGATATGATATCCTTAAATGGGCAGCTGCAAAGGGTGGTAGCTAAGTAGTGAGGTGAGGAAGCTAAGTGGTGAAGGTACTCCATGCGGCACAATCGAGCTCCGGAGTCTTCGCAACGGAGCAGCGGGTGGGCTGAAGCCGGTGACTCGGTGACTCAGGAGCCCCTAGTCGCGTCCTTGCTCCTAGTAGTAAGGCCAGGAGCCCCTAGTAGCGTCCTTGCCTAAGTCGCATGAAGATATGGCGGGAAGGAAGGGCAAGAAGAACCTCCCTCACAGTTGATACAACTGCATAGGAACCTCACATTGGCTGGGAATGTCTTTGGCTGGCGCCGCTGGCACACATGTGCAGTCATTATTTGTATACAGTTAGGTTGAATGAACGTGGATCGAACCAGCCACAAACAACTGTCTGTGGTCCTCGAAAATCATCAAATCTTCTTCAAGTAGGAGCAAGAATCTACTAGTAGCTCCTGGCATCACTACAAGGAGCAAGGACGCTATTAGTAGCTCTTGGCCTTACAACTAGGAGCAAGTAGCTACTAAGAACAAAGGGCGTCAAATCTTCTTCAAGTCACAAGGATCAGATCCCAATCGATCAAGGGCTCGGAGGGGCGCTGCGGATGCTTTCTCCTGGCGAGGAGGCGGCACTGAACTCCCCACGTCGGCCCTGGACCGAAATGCGGTGGATCGGTCCCCCGACCGAAAGGAGGTTCTCACTGAGCCGACCAGTAGCCTAGTGGTGTCGGAGCCAATTGCACCTGCCACAATCCAGGGGGGTAGAGAAGCTGTATCTTTTCAAAGGAGGCGAACGACCAAATGAACTTCTCGGCTGGAGCTGCAGGGACAAGACAATGTTCCGGGTCTGCATTCTTAGGCGATGATTCAGGAACATCTCCCATATCAGCCTCGTATATTTTGCCGGAGCACAAGACTATTGACAAGTCATCTACTACTACAGGCTGTGAAGAGTCTTCGGGATCCAGCTATCTTGTCTGGAAGAGGGCAGGAGTTCTTCCCTGCAACTGGTCCAGAAAGATCTGCGTTTGTTGAAAGCTTGCAGCTACCAGCAGTGCAATAGAAACAGCCTCGTATAAGAAGGACTATGACTCTACCCCCCAGTTCGTTTGGACGGGGAGCTCCACGTTGGCTACCCCAATAGGTCTCCCTCGGCCACAGGGACTGGAAGACTGACGTCACGGGTGGCACCGGTCGCGGACGCACCGGGACACCGGCCCTGGGGACTCCGGCTCGCTACGTTCGTCGCGGGCGAACAAGCGAACGTAGCGGCCTCCAAGCGGTTCGCGGCCTCGCTACGTTCGTAAGTCAGTCAAATGAACAGATTCCTTTTGAGAGATGGAAAAGCCGACACCGGGAGGTGCCATGACCCACACCGATTGTGCTGAAAATCGAAGGTTCATCCATTGTGATCATCGAACATGCTAAATGTGTTGAAATGATTCACCTGGGAGCTCGGATTTCTAGTGCTGCCAGAGCATTTTCATATGCTATTGAGCTAAGGGTCTTGACCAGTACCGACCTTGAAATTCGAGAGGATGGCTGAGTGATCCCATGTTCGGTGAGTCGGTGTGGTGAAAAATTATCAAACTTCGAGCGGAACGAGACGATTCTCTCGAAAAACCTGGAGCCGCCCCACCTGGCATTCGCCAGGGTATTTGCAATTGCACCACCCAAAATGGTGAAGTTCGACAAGGCAATGGCGTGCTTCGGCTTGAATTCCTGGCCGAGTTCGGCGAACCAATCGTCGGAGTCGGCCAACAAACCCGATGAGGATCTTCACGCACTCCGAAAGGGGACCAAAAGAAGAATTCAAAAAAGGAAGTGAGGGCCCCCTTTACAGGAGGGGCTTAATTTCCTCCTTTGTCGTCTCTTTTCCTTCCTTCCATTCCTTCGTTTTAATGTTTGATCAAATTCATCAGGAACCTTTCAGAGGGCGAAAAAGACGAAGAGAGCCAGAAGCAAGGCTCTTTTATCCAGCCAGGTCGAAGTAGGCAGGTATCATCGGAGCAAAGCACAACCGAACAGCCCCCACAACTACATAATATATTATATATACCTAGACCCCCTGACAGCCTACTTTTTTCTAGGCGATTGGGATTTTTAGGTTTAGCTCAAAAATCTGAAAATTAGGGAAATCATTGGTTCTTTCACATTCTTGCATATCCATGCAACATCTCTTGTGGATCAGGCATGTAGCCTATCAAAACTTAAGGTTGTCTCTTATTGAGTCTACCACGCCAAGGTATTCCATTCATCGCATCCCTTCACCCATCGGACCAGTTTCATGTTTGTTTCCCCAGGCCACCGCAACTGTCGTAGATCTATGAATTTCGCTCACGGGTCCACACATCATGAGCTGCTGCAAGGTATCTCTGAAGAACCCTGCGCTCTGTAGTTTGAGCAGCTGTACGCCTACTCAAAAGTGATGCGCGACCAATAAAATCCTCTGCAGAGCTACACGAAAAGGCCAAAGGATTCATTGGCCTGCCGCCCTTGCGAACAGTCACCCTCATTTCCAAAAGAATGTGGTGGAAATAGTGTAATTTTGGTCTGTAGGCAAAGAGGGGGCGGGAACTAGCATATGCCAAACTTGCAAGCTTGGCATAAGCCTGCAAAAAAGTCAGGCCATCTCCCACAATCTGCTCCGCCAGGGTTTCTTCCTTGGTGGAAGAAAAATGAAAGAATTGGAACCCAACCTTGAGTTATAGGACGTGGGTGAATGAAACGAAAGGTGGCATGGCAAGCGGATACACTATTCGCCTGCAGTTTGCTGAAGCCTGAGTAGTTAAGATAAGGATGAGCGTGAGGACACGGTTGAAGGCGGTGAAGATTGGAATGGGTAAAGGCAATTAGGTAACTCATGATCAAAATCGATCAGGATCAGGATGAACATGAGGATGATCTAGGATGAGCATGAAGGTGAAGATGCGGATGACGCTGGGGATGATCAGGAGGATGGATCAGGATGAGGATGAACAGGGATGAGGGTGGATCAGGTAGAGGACATCATGGGGAAGTGTTCTTTAATCTCTTTTACTCATAGGACTTATAATAAGAATTGCAATTTTGTCTATGTCAATGTCCTTTGAGCGTTGTGGCGGAGTAATGGGGAAAGCAGACATGACATACCTTATGTAGGGTGTCATGTTCGCCAAGGCAACCAAACATTGGACCAAACATATCTCACCGTTTGACAAATTTGCTTACAGCCCCACAGTCCTAGACCAATGCCACCCACCAATACATTGTTTGCTAAAACAGGGGAACTTATATAAGTCGTTGAAATAACTTAGTGGCAAAACCAAAACACAACATTACGTCACCCAATGTTGACTGAGGCTCTACCCACAAATCAGCACTGTACAAACCTCTCATGCATTTGCGTAAAGCTTTGCAAGACAAATCAATGTAGTGCAGCATCTTGTCCTGGGAAACCTTGTCGTCGTACGTCTCGCACATGTATATGATGAACTCACTTATCTTTGAGGTATCTGAGGCCTTTGACCAGGTTCCAGTGGGAAAAGTCTTTGTAGCATCTGGAAAGTTCAGCATGTTTCTGGTGAATAAATAGGTGTTGGCAGTAACCCTCATCATTTTTTTCCAAGTTCGCCACGCTGTGTTCAAACTTGCCAGTTGGGCATCAACAGATGTTCCAACAAATATGGTTCCCAGCATTGCGACCAAGCATGACCCGGCATGGTCTTGACCGAACCCTGCCAGATATACATGAAACAAATCAGGCAAGAAAAATTTTGCCGGTTGAGACAAGTACTGAAAGCTGTTGGCCACCAATCCGCTAATTTCTCCATCTCTCCAAGGCACCCATTGCGCCCACTCCCCGATAGCTTCAAACCATTTGGGAGAATCTGTGTGAATCTCCTCAAAGGGGAATTGGACATCTCCAGCTGGACACAACCAGCAACACAACCCTGGACTCTGTTTGAGGTTTGTCGGATCAAGTGGACCTTTCCTGCAAGTGGAGTACCATCGTGTAAAGCGGCCAGCACGGGCCTGAAGCTTCAAATCCGCTTTCAAGCCCAAAACAACGAGCCGCAAGCGCAAACCTTGATGTAGCACACCAGTCTCAAAACACTCATGAAGATCCTTCCCAAACTCTGTCATCATGGCCTGGAAACAGGAGTCATCTTTGTGCCAGGCAGCTGGCATCACGGAGTACATGTAGTGTGTCCCATACGAGTGTCCCAAGAGGTTGATTTGGGCTTCTTTCTTCCCCCGCTTGAGCATTCGGAATGAATGATCTTTCTTATTACCGCCTGCAGTCCCGCTTCCGCATACTGAGCTCCAGTTAAAAACCATGAACTCGGACTTTTTGTAACCACGTCCGCCATCAGCGTGAGCAAAGACTGGGATGCAAAGCCCAAGCTCTACATCAGGGTCGTCCACCAGAAACAAACCAAAGTCGGGGTGGTACACTTCAAACCTTCGCCAAAACTCCTCAAGCATCGGCCGTGCCTCGGCCACCTGCTTTCCTCCAAGAAGACGGTTCAGGTAGCCATTGGCTGCCATGTATTCCAGGAAGTGGAGAGGTTTGAGTCTAGGATACCCTTCCAGCAAGTCCCCAGATAGCGGGGTCAGATCTATAGGCAAACTCAGATTGTGCTTGGCAAGGAGTGGGTGAAGCCTATCCTCTGCATCATTGGCTTTAAGTTTGCTCAGACCCCTCACGACTGGACAGGAAGCAACTTGGGATGAAGTCCCAACGGCATCTTCCATCGCTTTCTTGGCAAAGCCAACGACCTGAGAGCATGGCACCTCAGCACGTTGGCAAAAGCATATCAAAGCATCACAAGTCCCACTCCCTGCAAGATTGTTCCCTATGTTGCTCATTTTTGCATCAACGCACAGAACAAAGCCTGTTTTGTTTCCCAACAATTGCTTTTAGGTTGCACGGCACGAATTACATCGCAGATTTGAACACAAAATAAGTAAAAAAGGGCCCTTGCCCACATTGTCTCCCTTCGCCACCCGGCCGAACATTTCTGTTTCCGGGCATGCCTTTGTAAGTTTCAATTAGAACAGCTTCCATTAAAGCTGCTTCGTCAAAGGACTCTGCCGCATAAATGACATCCATGAACTTGAACCTGTCAGGGGACCTATAGTAGCCTGGAGACGGTGACTCATGTGTCGGCTCCTTGTAGAAACGAAACAAAGGGTCTGCCGTCACCCCTACTTTGTAAACATGTGGGCCTTTGGTCAAAACATTCTCTATTTGTCTCCGGCGTGAGGCCAAAGCCTTTCCTGTGTTGGCCATTGGCGGTGGCAATTTCAACCACACTAGGCCATCGTCCCCCAACCCCTTCAAAATCAAATGTTGAAGTCTCGGCAAACCTCTCAGCGCAGGCTTGAACAGATCAAGAATGCTTTGTACACCTCGGAACGACTCGCGCATCTTACATCTCACCCTTGGCCACCCTTCAATACAATGACAATATGCGGAAGCCATCCCCAAAAGCTTTCATGTCTGTGCACAATGGAACCGCTAAGCCTGCTACTAGACGGCTTGGCGGCCTTTCCAAAACCCCTCTCCTCAGAATGAAACTGGTCCAGCACGGGCAAAGGACTTGCAAGAGCGGATGACCTGATTTTTTTGACAGGAGGTCCTCGGCAGATGCGAAAACAGAAATGCATTCACAGCATCACGCTTTTAGCAAGGACAAAGACTCGTGAGGTCATGAGGTCCACCAAAGCCTTTGTTTCAGGAGTACACCACGAGCATTTGTGTGGCACGTTCAATCCAAAAACTTGATAGTACTACAGAAACAAAAATTGCTCGCTTCCACCCAGCATTACTTTAAACAATCCAAGTTGCCTTCACAAGGCTGCCGTTGCTCCCGGCATCGCAAATTATTCTTTACGCTAAAGCCTAGAAGTTCTTCCAGCCATAGTGTCTCTTCACACGCCATGGTGCTGAGAGCCAGAAGCTGGTCTTCTCCCACTATCACGAATGACTCATACGCTATGCTTGCTCAAGTGGGAAGGAAAGACCCTGAGCTTGGCACGCCAGAACCAACGCATTTGGCCAGGTACTCTGCCGTCCCACTCACTCTTGATCGTGGCCGACCTGGCCAAGACAGTAAAAGCCACCATAAACAAAACAACTGTCTCCCCCGTTGGACTCTGGAGCTCAACAAAAATTGATGTGGAGGACGCTGATAGTCTTTCATTTTACATCATTTTACCATATCTCAGGGCAGCATGTAGTTTAGAGTCAATGTTGCCCACACTGGACCCAAATGCATCAACTCGAGCAGCGCTCAACACTAATCTAAAGGTCTGCACACTCTGGGAGCGTGATCACCAGTAATTGCAAGGAAGCTATGGCGTGCATTCACACCCGCTTCAACCCCAGACTTGAAAGTCAAAAACCCCTCTCAAACCGCTTAGTCTTCCTTCTCGGACTTCCAAGGCTTGCGCAGCAACGGCCTTGGCCAGCATCATGGATAGGTGAACAGCAGAATAAACGTCACACCATGCAGATGGACAACTAGTGATGCTAAACTGTTGACACAGCACATCCAGGTCCCTAACCTGTACTTTTTCTCTGTGGCTGTCCATGTTGAAAGCCTCAGCAGCATTAAACATCCTCAACTCTTGAAGAAAACTGGGTTTCAGATGAATCAACTAGTTGAGACAATGGCAGGCGCTTGCTGGTGCTGTACAAGGTCTTCAAAGTTGCAGCATGCCTGGGCAAAACAGGAATGGCATATCTGCTCGAACAGCGCCCAAGGAAAGAAGACAGACCAACCATGAAACGCGCAAGCGTCGAAGAACATATCCAAAAATAGCAGGCTAGATTCTTCGGCTCATCAACGCTGATTTCCCCCACTCTGAGGTCGGCCGTGAGCTCAGTCATGTCGTCGTACAATTTGGAAACCTTTTTCTGCAACTCCACCACGCTCTTGGCCGCCCTGAGTCGCTGCTTCATGGGGGACATTTCAATTGATCAGAGAATCGGATTGACATGAATGACACCTCTCCACAAGCTAAGCTTGGGTCTCTTTTGCTCCCGCCAAAGTGCTTCCGTCCAGTTTCTCCAGAAACGGGCTAATCTTGCCCAAAACGTTGATGAGTTCGTCCATGTGAACTTCCAGCTCGTGTGCCTCGAGGTCATTGTTTACCGGAAACCCTTTTGGTTAACATGCGATTGGCTTCTTTTAAATCAGCATCAAACTCACTGGCTTGCAACGAATGATCTGTCAGCCTTGACAGCTTTCTCCTCCTTCTTGGCTGGCCCGTGGTGCCCCAAGGATGGCAAATCCAACTTGTTGCCAAGAAGATTGGCTTTGAAGCGGTTGGTCGTTCCCTGAGCAGTTGTGGACTCATACAAGCCCTGACTCTGCCGGTTCTTCAATGAACCTTCAGTTCTCACATTGCACCAGTAGAGTACCACAGAGTTCATCCAGCTCATCGAGCCTGAGAAAAACAAAACCTGCTGCTGATAAGGACGCATCAGAAGATTGGGTTTGTCAAAGCAACTCTGCTGGTGCTGTTTCAAATACCAATGGGAAATTCATGCCACGCATGCCTTTTTAAGCCTAGCTGCATCATGTATTCAGGATCCCTTTGTCCTCGCTCCACAGCCGCTCGAATCCGTCCCCTTAGGCAGCAGAGCAGTACATGAGAATCTCAAACACAACAAACAAATTCCCTGCATAAATGTGAACAGGCACGGTTTCCACTTGAGGATGTCTTTCATCTCATCTTCTGTATAGAAACCACCGTGGGTGTTCAGCTCATTGATTTGCTCTTGGGACCGTACAACCCGGACTTCCTTGACAAACGCATCCTTACTTCGAAACCGGAAGCCACAAAAAGGCAATATTCAAAGCAGAAGGAAGAAGTCTATAAACAAAACTTACAAAGCGATAGTTTGGTGTAGAGCTTCAGTATCACCTCCAGACTGGACAAATATCTCAAACAGGCGGTCCCTACTGGCCCCCCGGGCAGCATACTGCTCGAATATGTCTTCAGGCACATCCAATTTGCCAGAGGACCGCTTCGGCTCACACACACGACGGAACTTTCCCTGCCAACGCTCTAGGTCGGCCTCATCAACGAGCCCCAAGGCTTCTATGAGAGATCGTTTGGCATCCTGCAATGTTGTGTCCACACAACATTGCAAATATCCTACGGCCCTACGGTTTCCTTGCATACAGGAAATCACCAGTGAGGCCCATGACATTCACTGTAGAAAACAATCTTCGCCAAAACATGCCAGAGAAACTCGCTTCCCTGCACCTGAGCTCCTGTCAGAAGCAAGCGATGAAGTCGGAGTCACAGTCGTTGATGAACTGGTCCCCTGGTTTGCAACCAGACAATCAGGTTAAACATACGGACAAGCAAGCACCGTGTCACATCTTGAAATTGCACAAATGCGTGCTTGTTTGATTGCGTCTTTTCCACAGGAAACTGGAGGGAAACACACATTGTACAATTGAAGCACAACATCCATTATTTGACAATTTAGACGCGGCATGCACCTTGCCATCGCCAGGTTTGCCAGCGTCGCCCAGTGGGGAGGAAACAGGCTTTCTGCAAACCGGAGATCTGGGAGGGCTGGCAGTGACTAAGTACGGATCTTCATAGACGCTGCTTGCTACATTCACATCGCTGTTCTGTAAATCTAACAAAAGGTTCTGCTGCAATTGCAATGCTAGGTTTGCATCGTCTTGGGCATCAGCATCCATGCCAAGGCCATCAACAGCCTTGGGGTTGAACTGAATCCAGAAAATATCTGAAATGGTCAGCTGAAAAGTCTCTGAAACTCAAGACCGAATAGGTGAAACCAAATGAAATCTAGGAACGCTCGAGTGGTCTTCTTCTTTCACGTGAAAATCTCCCGTGCTGCTAAACACATAAGGCACGGTTTCAGCCTCTGAAAGGGCAAGATCCTCTGTCTTTGCCTTCTCTGAAAGGGCTCGAAGTTCCTGCCAGAGCAGAAATCAGGGGCTTGCCAGTCTTTAATTGTTTGTCCTATAGATTATGTGTTCAATGATGAAGTCCTCAATAAGTGTACGAAGTTGTTCCGGGTCATCTGGCATCGTCTCTGTGAGCTTCAACACATCCAAAGCTTCTTGCAAGGATGAGCAACTCCATAGTTGGCTCTTGAGTGCCACAGACATCCCCCGATCACAACACAGACGGCACAAAGCAACACGAAGGCTTAAGGCTTGAGCAACCCCTGTGGATAGCAGCAGGTTTGCCAACAAAATGGCCAAGAACCTCAACAAACTGTAACAACCAATGGTCTTTGGATGTCAAGTCTTACAAGGCAAAAAACACCAAAGTGGCGTCATATTTTTGGGCGCCTGCGCTTTTATTGTGGGCGCTTGCGTTGTGTTTTTAGGCGCGTCACCTTCACGATTTCTAGGCGATATGATTTTTTGGGCGATCGCGTTGTGTTTGTGGGTGTTCGCGTTATGTTTCTAGGAGCTGCGTTGTGTTTTTGGGCGATGCATGTTGAAATGTGCAGAAAACGGTCTAAGAGTCATCAAAAGCTTGTAAACACATCAAAGACTTGTAAACACATCGAACAACTGCACACCGGGAAGCACATTGGGAACACACAAATTGCACGCAAGCTTCCACTGAATGGACTGGTGTCATAGACTGTGGAGATTGCGGACGTAGCTTCTTTTCCACACCCCACACGATCCAGCCCCAGCGAGCAGCAAAGAAAGCTTGCAGCAAGACCCCCGCCGGAGCAAATTAGACGCTCACTGAGTTCTCAACAGAAGGCCTGACAAAAATAGTATCAATGCTCAAGAAGAGTTGTGGTAAACAAAGACAACACTTCAAGGTGAACGTGCGACCTGCCATTGAAACTCACAGTTCCCGCGGAAGGACTTTCTTCCACTCCAGAGGAACCTTTAGAGCGCAAGCCCCATACAAATACTGACAGAGAGCTACCATCTCTGCATCATTCCATTTGTCACCCCACTCCCACGACTGCCAGATGCGAATGGCATCTGCTGAGTCATCATGGGATCTCAAAACAACCTTTGGCTTCAGCTTCTCAAGCATGGAGGCAATTTTCTCTCCAAAGCATTTCGTGTATCGCCTGATGTGTGTCGTAGAAGGGGCATGTGGACATGGAAGTTCAATGTTTTTGCTTTGGCAAACTTGGCAAAAGGATAGCGCGTTCCAAAAAATAAGGCCCTTACTCTGTAGACTTGAGGGCAGGAGTTCCATGATAGCGAGTACGGCCTTCTTTATCTTTGTAGGTACGACATGGCTTTTGCTCGGCTCCACGATCTTTCAAAGCCTTCCGGTACACGTGTTTCTTCAACCGCATGGTCCAAAACACTCCAATGGCTGGGCTACTGGACCACAAGCTCGTCCTTTTCGGTGTTGGTGCTTGATAATGGAACATCCAGAAGTTGCATCGAAAAACCTGGCGACACTCGACTGGCTAAGGGTAATTGATTGCAAACCTGTGATCCTGCCAGAAATCTATTGAAAAGGGCCAAAAGAATTCATGCGCCCCTAAACTGAACATCTGAGAGTATTATGTGTAGTCAGTTGAAAATTCGAGTGCCCCTCGCTGGAACTCAAGTGGCAACTGCAGGTAACAAACACGCACAGCATTTAGGAATTCCTGGAAAACATGGACCTTGAAGACAAAAACATCACAAAACAGTCATACAGTCATACACTTAAATGAAACAGATTCTGACCTTCATCTTTGGCTAACTCTTTCACCCGCATTGCAAACTTGGTGTCTTGACGTTTGGAAGCCAATAAAACATCGCAAAGGAAAGGTTAGCAAGACAAAGAACATCAAAGTAGTCGAACAATTCCTTCATTCTGTAATGGTCGAAAAGAAGGCTGCTGCGGGGCTGCTCCACAATCCAAGTGCCACAAAAAGCTACTGTGGCGATGCACAGAAGAGCCACCCTGGCACGAGTCCAGGCCGGACATTCAGCATACAAAGCACAATTGCTTAACTTCCAAACAAACATCTTTCACATTCTGACATGAAGGGAGATACCCTTCCTCCACTTTAAAACTCCATGGCCTACAGGCCAGAAAGTTGGCAACAGTCATGCAACGAACTTCTCCATCTAATCCTTCCGGGTTTGCCGCGCTCCTGCCAGTACTGCCTCTGGAGGTAGCAACCCAGGTCGCGCACTGAACCCCTAACCAATGGACCCAGCCATCATCTCGTCCCTGTAAGATGGAAGCAAGAGCTGCCCTTACCAAACACAGTGTCATCAAGTGTATTCAAGTGTTACATGTCTAGATTCACTGATCGACAAGTGGGGGATTAAGTTAGATCGAGTTGCCCCATTCCACTGTGCGAGGTCAAGTCCAAGGTCCGACTGTACTCAACATCTAAAGCTCTGGCAGCCAGAGCCGGAAAGCATGACTGCACCTCGCGGGTTGCCATGGCACACCCAGCAAATGATTCGAAGAAATGAAGGTCCTGCAGCGATGGAACTAATGCTTGCAACCTACATCCTCTGCTTTGTTGACCTTTTTGGCCATAAGTTCAAATCCGACTGGCGCCTGTGTGCCATCCACCTCACTATTCCAAATGAGAAGCATGCACGCAAATGCGAGCACCTCAAGCACTCATGAAGCAAGGCGCCAGCAGGGAAGCATAAAAATATAATATAACTTCAGCTCTACTGCCCAGTAGTAATTGGAACGTTACTGTCTAGTGACAAGGAGCTTTGGGGGCCTTCATCCGGTGCAACCGCTGCACAACTTGAGAAGCTGTCCATGGCATGTTTCCGCAACAGGCCAACCGTACACTTCTCACACCCTCAGCCCTTCTTGGAACACTGATCAGCTGCAGCTGAGAAAACAGAGTAAAGATCGAAAGGAATTTTAACTCTCAGCATTGAAAAGGGTTTGTTTCTCAGACGCTACATGCTCAAACAGGCCAGCTGAAACCTTCAAGGGCTTCAACAGTGGCGTCAACGAGCCCATGTTTGGCCTCTCGCTTCACACCACGGAGCTCCTTCAAGAAGCTCATCCCCAACCTGCACATGGCAAAGAAATGAGCGCACGGGTGAACCCTCTGCCTCTAGACCTTTGACAGCCTGGTCGTTTTCCATCCTGGTTGCTGAATGAAGGTTTCAGTATTTCTTCTGCTGCGGGCCCCTCCCGTCCTGAAGTCTACGCTCAAAACACTTTGACTGGAATCTTAGCCATTCATCTAAGCACGCTGCTCTCCGGAAAAATTATGGAATCTCTCTTCCGAAAACAATGAAACAGGACAGTGCTCAGACTGCTAATGTTGGCCAGCATGCGTGCACTGAAGGCCATCGTCAATCAAAGGAACACAACATTCAAAATCGCTCCGCATCAAGCTTAGTCAGCTTTAGCCAGAGCTGAGAGTGGAAGATTCCTGCTCAGCCGGTTGCTGAACCCTTCCTGCTTGGTCAGGCTCGGCCATAGATGCCTTCTGCTGCCGCCTAAGTCCAGCGTCCGGAGATGCCTTTACAAAACTCCAGATGTTCCATGATACTCGCCAAGTAGTGTATGTACAGAACATTTCAATAGGTTGGTGCGGCTTCAAAGGCATCGTCCAGAGTTGTGAAGTCGAAAGGTAAGTCTATTTAAGGTTACGTACATTGAGCCCCGTTGTGATAAAGTAAACCTCTCTAGTGTGTTCTTCTGTGTCCCTCTTGATGTGTACTTTCCCTTTTGCTGGGCTTTTGTTCATGCACGATCACGCAAACATACCAACCAAAAGAAAACATAGCTAAAATTTGTTCACGATTGAATGTCTTGTTTCCACTGCGCCGTTCTTCATCATTGTTTTTGTAGAGACACAGTCATCTGACTTGTAGACATCTGACTTATCAGTTTGAGGGCTGCGCTTTTGCCACTCGCTGAAGAACTTTGCAACGGCAGACTGAATGTAGCTGAAGTCGCCCGGGCTCTGATCGGATTGCTCATTCTTGGCACTTTGCACCAGCTCACAGAATAGCATCTGGAAAGGGTGCACTGTGCAAGGGAATGCTAGAAGAAAACACCTCTTGGATTTCCATTTGGTTTGACTGAAAAACAAAAACTAGACTTTACAACCCGGTGGCCTGAGCCTTGTGCTTGGTCCGAGATGGCAGGTGCGGCTCAACCTTCTGACGGTAAGCGTCCACTGTCCTGGCAAATTTCTCAAGGCCCCATCCCTTGGTCGGGCAAGCGCGTCCGCCAAAGGTGTGCGGGACCACCTTCTGCTGCAGCATCTTCTTGACCGGCTCCGAAAGCTCACCATGCTCCGCTTCATTGAACTCAGCCGTCTTGGCTGCTGAAGTCCGACGCCTTTTGGCAGGCACATCCTCCGCATCCTTCTCCCTCTCCACAGGGGCGTTGGCCTCGGCCTCTGGCCCGGCCTTGGCCTTGGCCTTGGCCTTGGCCTTGGCCTTCGCCTTCGCCTTCGCCTTGCCACGCGGCCTGCCCTTTGACTTGGACTCACTTTTGGCTTTCTGGGCCAACCTGAGCTGATCGTCTTTGCTACAAGGGCCCTCCTGCCAGGATCCAATTTCGCAAGACATCATGACCCCCAAACTTTGTCTGGAAACATTTGACCCCCAAACTTTGTCACATTGACAGCTGAGTTCCTTTTCTTATCGACAAATTTTGCAAAACCTTGCCTCGATGGGAGAAACAGGTGCAACAGGCTGGCTGGGTGGAATCGGTTCCTCTACCGACTTCTGGCTGGGTGGAATAGGTTCCTCTACCGGCTTCAGGCTGGGTGGAATCGGTTCCTCCGGCTTGTTGCCAATCATAGGCTCATCGAATG